AGTAATTTCCAAGGCGACTTCAGCTATTTCTTCTTTTGGTTTTTCTTCCTCAGTAATTTCCAAGGCAACTTCAGAGGTTTCTTCCACTGGTTTTTCTTCCTCAGTAATTTCCACGGAGACTTCGGAAGTTTCTTCTTTTGGTTTATCTTCCTCAGTTATTTCCAAGGAGACTTCAGAAGTTTCTTCAACTGTTTTTTGTTCCTCAGTAATTTCCAAGGAGACTTCAGAAGTTTCTTCTTTTGGTTTTTCTTGCTCAGTTATTTCCAAAGAGACATCAGAAGTTTCTTCTTTTGGTTTTTCTTCCTCAGTAATTTCCAAGGAGACTTCAGAGGTTTCTTCCACTGGTCTGTCTTCCTCAGTTATTTCCAAAGAGACTTCAGCTATTTTTTCTTTTGGTTTTTCTTCCTCAGTAATTTCCAAGGAGACTTCAGATGTTTCTTCCACTGGTTTTTCATCCTCAGTAATTTCCAAGGCGACTTCAGCTATTTCTTCTTGTGGTTTTTCTTCCTTAGTAATTTCCAAGGCAACTTCAGAGGTTTCTTCCACTGGTTTTTCTTCCTCAGTAATTTCCAAGGAGACTTCGGAAGTTTCTTCTTTTGGTTTTTCTTCCTCAGTAATTTCCAAGGCGACTTCAGAAGTTTCTTCTTTTGGTTTTTCTTCCTCAGATATATCCAAAGAGACTTCAGCTATTTCTTCTTTTGGTTTTTCTTCCTCAGTAATTTCCAAGGAAACTTCAGAAGTTTCTTCAACTGTTTTTTGTTCCTCAGTAATTTCCAAGGAGACTTCAGAAGTTTCTTCTTTTGGTTTTTCTTCCTCAGTAATTTCCAAGGAGACTTCAGAGGTTTCTTCTTTTGGTTTTTCTTCCTCAGTTATTCCCAAAGAGACTTCAGCTTTTTCTTCTTTTGGTTTTTCTTCCTCAGTTATTTCCAAGGAGACTTCAGAAGTTTCTTCTTTTGCTTTTTCTTCCTCAGTTATTTCCAAAGAGACTTCAGCTATTTCTTCTTTTGGTTTTTCTTCCTCAGTAATTTCCAAGGAGACTTCAGAAGTTTCTTCTTTTGGTTTTTCTTCCTCAGTAATTTCCAAGGCGACTTCAGCTGTTTCTTCTTTTGGTTTTTCTTCCTCAGTAATTTCCAAAGAGACTTCAGCTATTTCTTCTTTTGGTTTTTCTTCCTCAGTAATTTCCAAGGAGACTTCAGAAGTTTCTTCTTTTGGTTTTTCTTCCTCAGTTATTTCCAAAGAGACTAC